TGAGTCAACCCTGAGCCGGTGAGATTTGAACCGCTGAACTGCTGATCTAGCAGTAGCCTGCAGTGCTGCATTTAACCACTTCGCCACCTTGGCTCAATGAAATGTTTGTCTAGGGAATATCAAAAGAAATAATTAAATGGTGATAAAAGCAAAAAGACTCTCAAGCTTGTGTATTTGCCTTGTTTTCTAGGCCAAGGGTTCCCAAATTGGGAGGCATTAAGGTGCAGGAGGTTATGAAGAAGTTTAGAGGTTCATGATGAAATTTGAAGAGGCAAAGTAGAACAATAGCATTTTGATGTGAAGCTGTGCAAAATCAGCCAGTGGCTAAACCATGGTATATTATAAACTTCTAGTTTTTAAAGCGTGAAGCTTTTGATAACATTGATCATGGTACAGTATATACATACACATACATGCACACATAAAACTTTATAATGATCTTTGACCAGCATTCAAAGTTAAAGGAAGCAAATTGTTACAAGGAATTCATTAAGAAAATTATCACAGTACAATAAAACAATGAACAATATCTAAATCAGAGCTTTGTGGCAAGACAAAGGTATTTTGCTACCTGAAATGTAAGGGTTAACATCCCTTAGAAGATAACATACATAATATTTATCTAAGTAGCCCTCAAATTTGGGAATAATTGGGGATAGCAAAAAAATTATTGGAATGTCATAATTATGATATCGTGAGAATCATGTTTCTTCCTCTATCTCCCTAAAGCCACAAAGGCTGTAAGGTCTTCGCAGATTTTAAAAATAACCTTGAAATTTATTCCGCTATGAGTGCAGAAGGAAAAGGCATTAAAACAGGGTGCAGATAAAGCCCATCTATATTTACTCAGAGTTCAATTGTGCAAATACTTTGCAATAAATGGTTTATGGTCTACTATTTGGCAATAAACTTTATAAGCATTGCTGTTCTGATGTTTGATATTGCCAATTTGTTCCTTAACTGTTCATTTGATTTATACAAATATATGTGACTAGGAGAAAGGCCAAGGCTACAGAGCGTAAGTTTGATATCAGTGAGACTGTCCATCAAGAGCAATGGTAATAATTCTGTCTATAGAATTAAATCATAATTCTGAGCCATAAGATTAGAATATTAGGAAGTTGACAGGAAGTTCTTCAGCTGGACAGATGTGGGGAGTGTGGGCTCTCAAGAGCCTCACATGAACCCTGTCTGACAAACCAACTTCAAGGTCCGTTTGGACTGGAAACACCCCCCCCCCTTGGAGAAGGGCGAAGAGGACAGCATCTCATTAGAACCAGGGGGACACAACAGAGCCCTTTCAGGTCGGAGACTTGCCTTTTGAATCGGAATCGGGGCGACAGCCTATAAGTATGGCTGACAAGATGCTGAACTTCTTGTCAAAGCAAAAGGAACAGGAGAGTTTGGAAGAGATGAACGGCCGGTAAGATAATCTATCTAACCCACAGCCATAAATCAAACCTGGAAAAGGCAAAGAAATCTTGAGAACATAAATAATATTGATGGTCAGATCGGGACTTCTCAAGAAAGAAAGAGAGAGAGAGAGAGAGAGAGAGAGAGAGAGAGAGAGANCTAGCCTTAGAAATTCTGTGCTAAACCAAATCTATATTCCTTTTAAATTACACGTACTAAACAGATTTGCATAAATGCTAGCTTACATTACTGTTTCATAGTTCATGAGAGCAGACAAAACTATATAAACCACAATGGTAAGGTGGAAGGATCATCCGTGTAAAGATTTAAAAAGAGCCATACAAACTAAGAGCTTTTGGGGATTTGATTTTGATTTAGACAGACTCTTTAAAGGACGCTGCACTTTTGATGAGTAAATTTTAAAAAAACGGGTCACTAGCAGATTTCAAGATTAATAAAGAGATAACAAATATATTAATAAAATACAAAGATAAAATATCAAACAGAATTGAATGTATAAAACAAATCTTAGAATTGAGAAAGTAAAATATTTGGGTTGTTTTAGTATAATTTTACTTAAATGACAAGTAAAAATAAATCGTTAAGTAATTGTGATGTATTAGAATTATCTCAAAGAGACTAAAATGAAATCAAGAAAAAGAAGATAACAGAAGGCTATTCTTGTCAATAGATGTCTTATGTACAATTAACAGAAAGCTTTAAATTGGTTTTAAAATAATGTATCATTTTGAACAAGACCAAGTCTGAAACAGAATTATATACCGATGAGGAAATGTTATTGCTAAAATGTATGAACTTTTGCTGAAATGTGAGACAAAATAAGGAGTAAAAGAATGTATGATAAAATGGATAAACTTGTTGGTTTTGATATACAAATGGACAAATGGAAAAATATGCAATTGAAAGCGTGTGCTAGTCTTCTGGAATGTTTCTATAAAGTTATTGTTATATGTCACCAGAGAAATTGTCTAGATCTAGAATGTATAAAGGCACTTCACATTTATGTTAGAAATGAGAACAATAAGGGACATTTTATTATGCTTGGTGGATGTGTAAAACAGCAAAAAATAAATAAATAAAGGTGGGGGTAGAGGAGTTGTATACTGATTCAGAGTATTTTAAAGATTAATATATAATTGAGACCAGGAGTCTGCCTTCTGAGACTGATGGATAAAGACTTGGGGGGGGGGGGAAGTCATGGTACTTTCATTCTATGATAATTACACATTGCATCTTACAAACAGTGAAAGATTCATTGCAAATCACTTAGGTTCTCAATCTGTAAAACAGCATCATCTGCATTAAAAAAATAATAATCCTACATTCTTACTTTTAACCAACAGTCATCACCACAAGCACTCATTACACATTAAGACCCCATAGTTATTTGGGGGGGGGGGATAACAACATTCTTGTAATCATTAGACACCGATGAAATCTTCACATGTGTGTTAAACAAGCCTAATAATTTTCCACCCACAAACCACACCCGTGTTTTAACTTTTTTAAAAAATTAAAAACTACTTCTGCAGATTTCCAATTTTTCAATTTGAAAACCCATCTTTCCAGCCCTGAAAATTTTAAAAACTCAAGGTTAGATTGTAGAAGTTCAAAGAAATTTCAGATGTGCTAGTGCGATTAACACACCGAAAACACGCAGCCCATACACCACCTCACCTTCTCTTGTTGAATGGGAGTCAGGTGAGCTGCCTCTGGCTTTCTCCGTCCCAGGAAGATTCCACTGCACCCTACAGATGAATTATTTCAAAAGGCAGAGGGATGAGCCCCCGCTCCTTCCGCTGGTCACAACCTCTGCTAACTCTATTTTCAGCAAAAGAAACTCTGCTCAGCCCGCACCAACATTATTTTGTAGGAGTTTTACTCTCCACATTAGAGAAAGGAAAGAACATAACGTCCAAATTGCTATGGTTACCTTCCTAATCCTGTACAGATTTCCACTGCTTTCAGGGACAAAGTACAAAGGGAGTGACCACATAACTAGCAAGTATCATTATATATTGTGGGAGTAAAAATATTTGCATTCAAACTCTGCCCTCTGGGTTGCTTGCTACTGCGGTGGCGCAGTGGTTAGAATGCAGTACTGCAAGTAACTTCTGCTGATCACCTGCTGCCAGCAGTTTGGCACTTCCGGTTACACCGGCTTAAGGTGGACTCAGCCTTCCATCCTTCCGAGGTGGGTAAAATGAGAACCCAGATTGTTGGAGGCAAGAGGCTGACTCTGTTAACCGTCTGGAGAGGGATGTAAAGCAGTGTGAAGCGGTATAGAAATCTATTGCTATTGCTATTTTTCTCCACAGTTGTTTTACCCTTAAAAAGTAAGGGGTAGGGTGAGGATACCTTGGGATGCCAAAAGGTGCCTTTATATTTGTTTATGTCAAAAAGTAAATTACATTCCAGTGATTCTGCATTTCTACTCCTGTTAAATATATGGATTTTATGTGTGCCTGTACACAGGAGCCCGAAGAGTTGATATGGAGACATAAATTTGCATACAGGAAATATCATGATTGCAGATATACATGTGTGCCTGCTTTCAGACACCCGTCCAAAGAACTCCTTTCTCACCTCCCAGCAATAAAACATTGTCCAGAGATAAATTCCTCTGCTGGGTTCTGGAAAATATTTGTGCAATTTTGCGACAGTGAACAAAGAGAGCAGCAAACTTAGGGATTCTGCTCATCTGGTTTGATATATTTGTGATGTGAACTCTGCATCATCTGGCTACCAGATTATTTGTTGATTTGTTTGCATTAATTTGATTATTCAAGATTATTCATTGCTCATACAGGCAGTGCTCAACGCATCACTGTAATTGACCCTGGCATTATGGTCATGTTGTGATGCTTGGTAAGCAGGTCATACCCGATTTTACAACCTTTTTTGCAGTAGTTGTTAAGCTAACATGGCAGTTGTTAGCAAATACCGTGGACATTAAGTGAATGCAGTGGTCATTAAGCAAGTCCATTATTCACTATGGGGCATTTTTGTAGCTTAGGATTGAAATGCAGCCTTGCTGGATGGGATTTTCAAGCTATTAGAAGGGTTGCAATTCCAAACCCTTTTTCACCTACCGTAAAGACAAAGGAAGGGTACTCAGTAGCAAATCTTCACACATGAGAGGTCCAACAAGCAATTCCTGATCATGAAAAGGTGTAATTCCTACAGTAGCTGAACTGATCATGATCCCAATCCACACAAGTGTTGCTCCTTTGTGGACAAAATAATTCTCCACATTTCACGTCATAGTTTGAGTGGTCAGCGAGACATAAAGCTGTATATTTCCACATGCACTTGGTGCATACAGTTCAGGCCTTAAGACATTTACTTAAGAAATAAGTCACATCAAGCTAAAAAAAAAAACACCTTACTTTCCATTAACTGCACTCTGCAATAGAGCCTTGCTTGGCTTTGTCTGACCTCCTATTTGAATGAATGGCCAAAGCAAACCACTGTTAAATATTAGTATGCATATTGTTTTGTCATCTTAACATGTTTTCAACATTGTTGGAAAGAAGAGGACGAGTGAGAGTATACTGAGATAAGTGTGTCCTCAAACACCTCCTCTTGCACTGCAGAGGGGAAGATAAGGAGGACTGGAGACCCTGTCCTTCAGATGTGTTGTCTTGACACTCAGAGTCTCCTGACTTCTTAGAAAGTCTCCAAACAACTGTTCTTCTGTGAAATAGTGAAATAAACTGAGCTGTTCTTTTTCCAAAAGTCTTCTAAGCAATCAACTTTGTGACTCATGGCACAGTCTGTCCTCAGCTTTATTGACTTCAAAGCTATCAAAGTACTTATTTTTCATGCTTACCATTATCATCTAACCGGTTGAGCATAATATCAAACTCGGTAGCAAATATTTTCCCTCAGAAGACCTTTTTCTCCATGTCTGATGCAAAATGCTACTGACCAGCCCTTGAATCTGTAGAACATTACAGTGTCTTTTCGAAAAAAACAATGTTTCATTGCTGGTCTCCATCCCTGTCCACGGGGGCAGCATGGCCAATTGGTGATGCCCTCATTCGTAGTTTGGTCTAGTGGCACCGGCGGGAGTTTAAAGCGGGAGATCATGAGTTCAAGTCCCATCTTAGCCATGAAAACCAGCTGGGTGACTTTGGGCCAGTCACTCTCTCTCAGCCCAACCCACTTTGCAGGGTGGTGGTTGTAGGGAAAATGGGAGTAAGAAGGATTATTAGATATATTTGCCTCCTTGGGTTATTTGTAAACATAATAAATGCAGGACACAAACAAACAAAATTGAGAGCATGCTGAGGAACGAAACTGGTGCAGTCTCTTGGCTTTGTTTCTCTCCCCTTCCTGCAAATATCACCAAGTGGCAAGAAAACTTCAAAAAGGAGATAATTCTAGATTCACTGACAGTTGATAAATGGAGGGCAGGCAGAGGGGAGCATTACACTATGAAGAAGTTTCCCACCTGCTCCCCTCCCATCAGTTGTTAGCTGTTAATTTGCCAGCTACTAGCTGGGCTGAAGCTGATCCCTCTTTGTAAGGCAGGCCTCTGATCTGGAGATTGGCTCAGCAACTGAGCAAGAGTCACACCAGTGAAGTGGGCAGATACACAAACTGAGTAAATAAATACCGATAAATAAATAGTTTGGAAGTTCCCAGTTGTGTCAAAGTTGGGCTGATCAATGATTGGTGAAGAACATCAGTTGATGCCCACAGTAAAACTGCTGCCACTTTTTGCCTGTTGAAGAGAAAAACACCACTTGAACCAGAGGTGGTATTCAACAGCTTCTGACCAGTTCTAGAGAACCAGTAGAGGAAATTTTGAGTAGTTCGGAGAACCGGTAAATACCACCTCTGACTGGCCCCGCCCCCCATCCATTATCTGCCTCCTGAGTCCCAGCTGATCGGGAGGGAATGGGGATTTTACAATATCCTTCCCCTGCTATGCACACCAAACTATGCCCATCAACCCATGCCATGCTCACCAAGCCACAGCAACAGAACTGGTAGAAATTTTTTTGAATCCCACCACTGGCTTGAATCCAGAAGCGAAGAGAGAAAGTTAAGTTGAATTAACAGCAGTTTAATCTATATTTATCTTGATAACTTCCTCTTGCATGTCAAAATTGTAGGAAAGTAGCATCCACCCCTCTCCTAGAGAAATGAAATATCCTGGGAAATATTGAAAAGGCAGAATATTATATTTTCCTGGATCAGAAATGGAGAAGCATGTTTTTAGGCAGGAAACACTTACTCTTAATATCCCCCATCTTTGTTAATGGGCCATTTAAAAAGCCTGGGTCAGTCTATTCTACACAACAAAGATCCCTCTCTTTCAGCTCCAGCGTGATTAAGGCATGATAGTATTAGCCCTTTACCCATCTCACCATAAGGGCATCTGGGAAGAAGCAATGCTCAACCAAACTTGGATTCAAGACAGCCTACAGAGCAGGGACGTGCAGTCACTAGAGGCAGGGGAGGTGGGGCCTCACCAGTCTCCTCAGGAAAAGGAAAGAATTTTAAATAATGTTTTTAAAATAATTAAAGCCAAGGTAGTTGCTACCAGACTCCAAGTCACAGTGACTTGGAGTCTGTGCTTAGTGTTAACCATAGGAGGAGGTGAGAGAACTCAGGGCCTCCTTTGCATAAGGAATTTTTCGCCTTTTAAAAGTTAAGAAAGGGTTAAAAATGAAAAAAATTCATATGCAAAGGAGGCACTGATTCTCCCGCCTCCTGATCTGGGAGCAGCGAATCATGTCTTGTTGGCAGTTGAGCACGGTTACGTTGGGCAGGTTATTTTGGAGGGCGCGATTCAGAGGAGAGAGGAGTGGGGGAGTGGGGGCGAAGGAGGAGGCTCACTCTTCACTGCAACATGTATGTATTATTTGGTTGGTTCACTAGTTGAAACAGAAATAGTTGGTTGGTTCACTAGTTGAAACAGAAATAGTTCCCTGAAGAATATTTAAAGTGGTAAAAAGAAGCTGACTTCTTCAAATGAGGAGCCCAGATGAGGCTTGAGCAAGAGCCGCGGAGGCAAAAGTCGAAGAAAGGGGGGGTTCCAAGAGGCCCCCTCCCCTTTTGGCACTCTGCAAGCCAGGCCTGCAGCAGCAAGAGGCTCCGCTCCGCTTCTATTGCCCCCCCCTCCGCTCCAGAGAAGCCGGCCGCAGGCGAGTCTCCGCAGCCACGGTTTCGTCTCCAAGCAGCCCCGGGAGGAAACGGGCCAGCCCCGCTTCCCTCCCCCGACTTTCCGGCAGCGGAGGACCCGCATTCCGCTCCCCCTTCCAAGCCCCGAGTGACCAGCCTCAGCTCCCATCGCTTCCTTCCAGAGCTCCGGCAGGCCTGCTGAGGAGGAGCCCAAACAAGGCTGGAGCGAGAGCCACGGATGAGAAAGGCTGGTCACTCGGGGCTTGGAAGATGGAGTGGAATGCGGGTGAATGCGGGTCCTCCACTGCCGGAAAGTCCAGGGAGGGAAGCGGGGCTGGCCCGTTTCCTCCTGGGGCTGCTTGGAGAGAGAACCGGGGCTGCGGAGACTTGCCCGCGGCTGGCTTCTCTGGAGC